AAAAAAACAAAACAAAAAAAAAACATAATTGCAGAATAACCTTCGGCCATGTTTCCCCGCGGACCCTCTGCGCCCAAGTTGCAATAGAGAAGCTTCCTCTGCGAAAACGGGCTGCGGTAGTCACCATTAATCCGACATCCTCGATCCCATCGGTCACCAATTGAGCTCGCATGGTACGGCGTGCTTTCTGCCTTTTGATATTTTTGTCATGTCTTTCTCTCTTCCCTTCAATCCCTTCCTCACTCTCACCACCTCTGTACTGCTCTCTCTCTCTCTCTCTCTCTCTCTCCCCCCTCTCCCTCTCTCCCTCGCTCTCGCTCTCCCTCGCTGCCTCTCTCGCTCTCTCTCTCCTTCGCTCTCATTCGCTCGCGAGCTGGCTGTGCCCGTTCCCGTAGTGAGAACACGTGACTTTGTCAATTACATGCTTTCTTGCTACTAATTTCTGCCCCTGCGATTCCACGAGAAGAAGAAGAGGAAGAAGAAGAAGAAAAGGGGGGAGGAGGAGGAATCAGACTCGCAACCGATTACAAAACGATAACCTAGATTCTGCGCGAGACCAACATTATAACATCTGCAGCACGAGAGTCGGTGCAGAGTGTTGTTGTTGTTTGTTGTTGTTGTTGTTGTGTGATAAGAGGCTGCTGTGGCGTGGCTACATTATGCACACAGATTAGATTAGATGATTGCATGGGATTAAATTACATTTTTAATGAACCCTGTGGGATAATTGGGTGGCCATGGCAACAGGCAGAAACACAACAAAACAACAAAAGGAGGAAACATGCATCAAGGAGTTAGAAGCAAACACCTGAAGCAGTCGCTTGACCTGCAGCTTGTGTGTTTTTTGGGTTTTTTGTGCGTCCTGTGTGGGTTGTTTCTTGTTCTGAGAGACAGATGATGTGGACGTAGATGTGAGCGGCTGGTTCTGGATCTGGTTCTCAGCCCACATGGTTGTAATGAGGTTAAAATATTCTGATTCACTGGTGAAGCTACTCACATAAAATAATAATTAGCAAACTAAGAGCTGCTGTGGTTAAGACGTGCCTTTAAAAACATCCCAAAGCTGTTGTTTTTTTATCACAGTAATCATTCGTCCACATGACTTCTATAAAACACTATTTAAATGCACGCCTGTTTCATTTTGTGTGAAGCTAAACGTGTCACATTCCTCATACGTGTTCACATGTTTGATCAATGAAACTGATCCGAAATGGTTTTAAAGTTTAAGTTAACCTGCTAAGTTAAAGTAAACACCAACAACAACATTCACACACACATCTTCCACCTTTACCTCCTCCGTCCAGACTGACGTCTAACATTATTTTATTTTATCTATACTGTCGTTGCACCAGAACTAATTCCTCCTCGTGTGTAAACGGCAACAAACCCGATTCTGATCCAAGAGTTCCTAAAGTTTGATTTAAACCTCACGTGAGTGTTAAATCCAGCAGGCGTCTCCGTCACCTGAAGCTAAACCTACAAACTTCTAAACCAAACGTTCATGTTGTTGTTGTTGGTGTCCTGGAGCTGGTGCTCCTGTAACGGAGAGCCGGTTACCTCCGAGCATCCTGGTGGGCACCAGAGGAGAGCTGAACTCACAGCTCAGGAATGCGAGTGGGAAACCCAGAAAAACAAACCTGAAAACTGTCAGTCAGGATCCACGCTTGTCATAAGTCCTCTGAGCACTTTCTCTATTCGGGGTTATTTAAAATCCTCATGAAACGTGTGATGAAGGAGAACCCACACGGAGCTGGAACGTTTCTCATGATTTAGAAAAAAAACTAAACTAATGAGAACTTGTGGGAAAGATTTTTTACTTTTAGCCAAAGTTTGTTTGATTTTTAAAGACTTTATTTAACCTTCTTAAGGAGAACTTTTATATTTAAATACGATCACGTCTGCCTCTGTGGTTCTTTTTACTTCTTTAGTTTAATGTGTGTCTCTCACAAAAAGAACCAGAAATCCACTGAGCTTGTCCAGGACTGACTCCCCCTCCAGTCTTACTGCTTCTTCAGGTTCTGCATTTCCTGGCTGTGGTTGCTCAAAGGCCTCGGGGCCACATCGATAAACAACAAGCACCACCTTCATCCAGAAACTTGCCACCTTATGCCACATCTGCCCCGGTGGGGACGTTTCTGGAGAGGTTCTAACCGAGCGCGAGGCAAGAGGAAAAACACGTTGGAAGGAATGAAACAACAACAAGCCTTATCTCCACCCACCACCGCTCAAGAGCCCACCCTCCGGAATTCACAGGCTTTGTCCCTACCCCCAACCCGTCCATCCCAGCCCCCGCGCAAAGGCCTGTTTTTGAAGATGCTTGTAGTCGGAGGCCTCCGCGGCGGCCACAGAATTACTGTTTGGGTCAGAGGACCGGGTGTCAGATGTTATCCACTCACTCACATCCTGACAGGACTCTTCTGATCAGAGTCAAGTCGGTGGAAATCACGGCGGCGGCGGCGCAGCTCGGTGACGTGTGCGAGACAATGACGGGGGAATAATTTAGATTTGGGTGGCTCGGGTGTGCCCGTTTGCCCCAAGAAGCCACTGAAATAGTAAAACGGAGATTAGTGGGGATTTTGAGACGGCCGTGGAGAGAAATTCCTTTCATCCGTGGAGGGCAAGAGAAACATCTCAGACTCAGGGATGAATCAGTGTGAAGTGAAGGAGGTTGATGAAGTGTTTATCAGAAACACAGGGTGTTTGTATGAAGATGCTTCTTTAAGGAAAGTTTGCTCTGAATAAAACTTCTCACATTTACAATATCTCAACATTTTATTTACCTTCATGCAACAGGATACGATTGTTTTCTCCCTTTTTTTTTAACTTCACATCACTTTAACACTTTTTATGACATTTAAAAAGTTTTTTTCCCTTTTTGTTGCCTTTCATTCGTCTTTTTTCCACTTTTTTCACAGAATCAAGCCGTCAAACTAAAAGAACAACTTCTGATTTGAGATTTAGCGAATAGTTCCTCAATAAAAGGAGCTCACGTCTGCAACAGAAGAGAGTTTTCCTGTTTTTGAGCTGAACTGAAAATCCAACTTTCCTTCTTTGTGTTTGTTGTTTGTCTTCCAGGAGTCACCAACACACATCCTGCTTCTCATTTGTTTTTAGTTTTGCTAAATCGATCCGTTTTCATTCCACTTGGGGAACATTTCACAGCAGCAGCAGCTTTTCACATAAAGAAAAAGTTAAAGAAAAGTTTCGTGACTTTAAAGCAGAAGAAGATGTTTTTAAATATTTAGCACCAGAAGCTAGAAATCACACTAAAGAGTTTTTAAACTGGTTTAACTTCACATCAGTTTATTTAATTTGTAAACTGAAAATGTTTTTGTTTTTTTTAGTGGATTTAGAAAAATAAAACTAAAGTTAAAGCTCTCTTATTGGCACCGTGATTCTGAACCAGCCTGTTTCTAAAATCTTTTCTCTGTTTTGCTTCTAATCGGTTCCACTTTTTTCCACTTTTGCTTTTCGTCTCGCTGCCACATGAGGATTGTTTTCTGACTTCATCTTGTTTCTGCTTCACATGAGGAGGAGAAACAGCAAAAACTTCTGAGAGGAAGTTTTGCAAAACATTTGAAATCCTTTTTTTTTTTTTTGAATAAAAGAAAACAAACAGCTATAAATGTGTTTTAAAATAAAACCACGACTCCTCCTTCTGTCTGCCTGCAGGATAAACTTGTTTCCAAACACATTTTATCTCCACCACAATCTTTTTTCCACTTTTCTATCTGGGGGCAGTTCATCAAACAAAAACAGGAGCTTTTTCTGAAGGTTTAGATTCAGGAACTCGTAGTCGTACAAACTGTTTCTGACAGATTGAACTTTGCTGCTGGTGGAGTTTAGAGCAGGATGTAGCTCAAAGTTAACTTAAATTTAGACTCAAAACACTAAATGCAGGAGAACAGATTGCACACTGTGATGCTGTGTTACAGATTTCTGTGAACGTAGAATTCAGAGTCTGGTCTGATTAATTAACAGCATTTTATTTATTTTTAGAAAATGCAACGAATGATGGAAATAACTTATTTTCCTCCTTTGGGGTGTTTTTTTTACAGCCTCTGGTGTTTTTTCAGACTTAGTAAAAGATGTGAAAATGGATTTTATAGCTTAAAACCTTTATTTTTTAATTTAATTTTCTGTTCATGTATTTATTTATGTGAACAGGAAACCTCTGATGTGTTGCATCCAGCCTGAACAGCATGAAGCTCATTTTCAACTTTTCAGTAAAAACAGACAAACAGCACCAATAAAGAACTTATTGATTATATTCAACTTGTAAATGTTCCTGATTTGTCTCCACGTGTCCGGGTGGTGATTTTAAAACCTACTTTTAGATTTATTTTCCTTTTCGTTCATCTCTAACCTGTGTGGAGCCTCTGAGGAGAAAAAAAAACTCTCTGCAAAGTCTGATTTGAATGCATTTTAACCAAAATCTGTATTTCTGAGCAGCTCGGGGGGAAAACATGCAGATTCCTGAGCTGTTTGAATACCAACTTTCTGAGCAGACTTTGGACTCCCTCACCCCAGCTAACCTCACCCAACCCCCACTCCTCACCCTGTAGGCTCCCAGAGGAAATTTGCCTTTAGCCTGCGTTGCTGTCAATGCAGTTCAAAGGGTTCATTGAGTCCGTCTCTCTCTTTTCTCCTTTCTTTTTTTTTGGGGTGAGGGGGTGTTTTTTGTCGTTTACTTCATGCATTCCAGCTACCAATCCTTCACCTTTTTTTTTTTTTTTTGAACATCCTCCACAAAGAAGAAGGAGTGTAAACAGGGCTGGAAAGCAGCTCATCCAGTCCAGGCTGATTATTCAGTTTTTTAAGGAATGTGCACATGAAATGTTTTAGAAGTTAAACAGCAGATTTAACTCAATCATTTAATCCATTTTTTCTGATTGCCACCGTTCCTGAGCTGAGCTGAGGCTTCACTCACATCCTCCACTGTGCTCCTGATTCTACCTCCAAAACAAGAGGAATCCTCACTTTCTGCCTTTTGGTCCAGGTTTCCTCTGAGACCTTCACAGATTTCGTTTAGAAATATTTAGACAGAACG